TTTTTTAAATAAAGATGGGCTTTCACCATGTTGGTCAGGCTGGACTTGAACTCCTGACCTCAGGTGATCCACCTGCCCTGGCCTCCAAAGTGCTTGGATTATAGGCGTGAGCCACCATGCCTGGCCATATTAGTTTATTTTATAGCTGTAAATCGAGTATTGAACTTTGCTGATTAATTTTCACAGCAAATAGTAACTTTCTAATTCATATCTTCTCGCTTATGATAAATATTATTATATAAGCATGTAAGTTCCATATAAATTTATGTTAGGCCTAATGATTTTCATTCAGGTGTTCTGAACACTAGTAACTAAGCTTAAGACCTTGTTTTTGATATTTGAGAGTTGGAACTCCAAAACATCCTTTATGAAATGAAGTAGGAATACTCATTTATCAACAATACTAACATCCTGTAATCAAAGAACCACCAGTTAGAGAAAAGAAACCTCCAATAAACCAAGTGACTAAAGAATAAAATGGCAATTCAAAATTTTGTTAAGCACCCTTTCCTACTGCTCACATGTAAAATTTCAATAATTTGAAGACAGAGACAATACATCCATAAGAGGAAGCTCTGTCAATCCTTTCAACCAAAGGAAATAGGCTGGACAGGCAGAATGCAATCCTAGCATTTTGAGAGGCCAAGGCAGTTGGACTTTTTGAGCTCAGGAGTTCAAGTCCAGCCTAGGGAACATGGCAAAACCCCATCTTTATAAAAAATACAAAAATTAGCCAGGCATGGTAGCATGCACCTATAGTCCCAGCTACTTGAGGGGCTGAGGTTGCGTGAACCTGGGAGGCAGAAGTTGCAGTGAACTAACAGCAGTTCACAGAGATCACACCCCTATACTCCGGCCTGAGTGACAGAGCAAGACTGTGTTTAAAAAAAGAGAGAGTCCAGGAGCAGAGGCTCACGCCTGTAATCCCAGCACTTTGGGAGGTCAAGGTGGGCAGATCACAAGGTCAGGAGTTCGAGACAAGCCTGGCCAATGTGGTGAAACCCCATCTTTACTAAAAATACAAAAAATAGGCAGGCATGGTGGTGGACGCCTGTAATCTCAGCTACTCAGGAGGCTGAGGCAGGAGAATCACTTGAACCCGGGAGGTGGAGGTTGCAGTAAGCCAAGACTACGCTATTGCACTCCAGCCTGGGCAACAAAGCAAGACTCTGTCTCCAAAAGAAAAAAAAAAAAAAAAGAAAGAAAAAGAAAAAGGCCTATTAATTATCTTAAGAAAATTATCTTAAGAAAACTAAGAACTTAGGTCGGGTGCAGTGGCTCACGCCTGTAATCCCAGCACTTTAGGAGGCAGAGGCGGGCGAATCACGAGGTCAAGAGATCAAGACCATCCTGACCAACATGGTGAAATTCTGTCTCAATTAAAAAAAAAAAAAAAAAAAAGAAAACTAAGAACTTAAAAGACATTTTTACCTAAACGAAACTTTCCATTATTGTTATACCACAGTTTTTTGTTATTATTATATATAATTGTCTCATCAGACAATTCCGTTGTTCTACAAACAAACTTTAATCTGATGAAATACATCAATGACAGGGGTGAATTAAGTAGTACAGTTGTCCTTACATGAAAAGACTTGATTACTACATTATCTGACGGTATCAGTACCAAGACTGTCAGCTACCAAGAGTGGAATGATGGAGCAGAAAAAAGTAAAGTAAATAAAGAAAATTACACTTTAGGAATTAGAAGCCATTATCAAATGTTAATCAATTAGCAATACATACCATCTAAGCCAAGTTACAGGGTAATTCAGTAGGAAAGGGTATTCATTTATCAAAACTACTGTTGGCCGGCCACAGTGGCTCACGCCTGTAATCCCAGCACTTTGGGAGGCCGAGGCGGGTGGATCATGAGGTCAAGAGATTGAGACCATCCTGGCCAACACGGTGAAACCCTGTCTCTACTAAAAATACAAAAAAAAGTAGCTGGGCATGGTGGCATGTACCTGGAGTCCTAGCTACCTGGGAGGCTGAGGCAGGAAAACTGCTTGAATCCAGGAGTTGGAGGTTGCAGTGAGCCGAGATCACGCCACTGCACTCCAGCCTGGCGACAGAGTGAGACTCTGTCTCAAAACAAAACAAAACAAAACAAAAAACTGTTGTTAAACACAATTGAGAACGCATGTGTTATACAATGAGGCCAGATATGCTCTCCCAAATCAACCATGAATATTTGCTATTCAAGTTTCTTTATTAGGTGTTTTTTTTGTTTTATTTGAGACAGGAGGTCTCAGTCGGTGTCACCCAGGCTAGAGTGCAGTGGCACAATCATGGTTCACTGCAAACTCCACCTCCCAGGCTCAGGTGATACTCCCACCTCAGCCTCCCAAGTCGTTGGGACTACAGCCCCACACCACCACACTCGACTGAGATTTTGTATGTTTTTTGTAGAGAACGGGGTTTTGCTATATTGCCCAAGCTGGTCTCAAACACCTGGGCTCAACACATTCTCCTGCCTTGGCCTCCCCAAAGTACTAGAATTACAGGCAGGAGGCACTGTGCCCGGACTTTTTTTTTTTTTTTTTTTTTTAATATGATCAGATATGCTAATGTATGCTAATGCATGTGGGAGTCCTTTTTTAAGAGCATTTTTTTTATTTTTTTTTTTTTTTTTTTTTTTTTTAATATTAGATTCATACTGATTTCTATTAAAAGTTTGAGCTATACTGGGAGTGAAATACATGGCCAACATTAACAGAAGAAAACTATACAATAGTATTTTTATTTATTTATTTTTTGAGACAGAGTCTTTCTTCCTGTGTCACCTAGGCTGGAGTGCAGCGGCATGACCTCTGGTCAGTACAACCTCCCCTTCCTGGGCTCAGGCAATTCTTATGCCTCAGCCTCCCGAGTAGCTGGGATTATAGGTTGGCACCAACACACCCAGCTAATTTTTGTATTTTTAGAAGAGACGAGGTTTCATCATGTTGGCCAGCTGGTCTTGAACTCCTAACCTCAGGTGATCCGCCCGTCTTGGACACCCAAAGTGCTGGGATTACATGCATGAGCCACTGCGCCTGGCCAGAAAAAACTTTATAAGGTATTAATAATGATCTCTAAAGTTCGTACTTCATGAGAAAACAATTATGCTGGTATCTGGAACTAGATTAATGAAAGAAACAATTATGTCTGCATGTGATCTGGCTTTTTAAATTTATCTCTAATTTAGTAGAACTAAAATCCTGGTCTTTTGCCTATTCCTATTTAAAAGGATTCCTCTTGTTTAATATCTCATGTTGTAAACAATGAGACTTATAAAAAGTTATGAGCATCTTGAGGACCTTTAAAAATTTTTGTTTCAAAAATTAATGGCTTTCCCTTGAGCAAGGTGCATATCTCATGTTTTCCAAAGACTGCTGGAGTTTTGCCCAACAGTTATTTACTTCAAACTCTCATGGGTATAAATTATTAATGGCCAAGACACCAAGTCTCTTCGCTGCTTATTACTATTTTCTATATACTACAGTTTCAAATATGCTGAAGATGCTTCTATGGATTAACTACATTTAACTAAGGAATAAAGGACTAGAATTATCTTCAAGCATTTTTCATGGCAACTCAAAACATTTGTGACAATGTAGAAAAATCTAAAATTGGGAAATCTGAGCTTTATTGGGCTTTACTGCTTTCATTGCTGTGTACTTAGGGAAATGGCTATGCCTCTGCTTCCTTACTGGTAAAATGTCGATAATGCCATCCAATAACGTGTGTGTTTGTTTGCTGCTGCCATAGGCCAATCCTAGAACAGCACCACACACTCCCACCAACCCCACCTCCCCGACTTCACAGAGCCTATATGGTTCCTTTGAGGATTAAATAAGGCAAGACAGTACTCTAAAGAATTTAAACTATGTAACTACAAAAATTTCCACCTGATACTTTCAGAGGCTTTCGGCCTTTCATTTATTTCAAAACCAGAGAACGGAACTAGCTCTGATTAAAATGCAACTACTTAATTTAGGCAACAGACAGCTCCTGCCGACACGTAATAAATTCATACTCGGTGTGTGGTCTGACGGCAGAGACGCTTGCTGAGCTGGTGCTGGGCTCTTCAGCGATCCCTCCACCGTCCAGAAACATAGTGACCGCCATTTCCAGGTTATTGTTGCACGCTTCAAGCATGTGTTTCCCTACACTTTCACTTGCACCTGAAACAGTAAAAAGACAGGAAAAACGTTAAAAGAAAAAAAAAGACAACCTCTTAAATTCAGCTCATATTAAAATTCCCAAGTAAATTAACAGTATTTTTCCCTTTCGGAATGAATGACTTTCTTTTCTTAAACTTACTGGTTACTTTTGCATTGTGAAATACACAGAGCTAGAAAAAATGTACACATTCTTAATGTAAAATACACAAAGCTAGGAAAGAATGTGGCAGCATTAAAGAGTAATCATCCTTCATAATAAAACAAAAACTAGGCTGGGCACAGTGGCTCACTTGCAATGCCAGCACTTTGGGAGGCCAGGCAGGCGGAACACCTGAGGTCGGGAGTTGAGAACAGCCTGACCAACATGGAGAAACCCTGTCTCTACTAAAAACACAAAATTAGCTGGGCGTTGTGGCACATGCCTGTACTCCCAGCTACTCAGGAGGCTGAGGCAGGAAAACTGCTTGAACCTGGGAGGACCCGGGAAGCGGAGGCTGCAGTGATCCGAGATCAAACCATTGTACTCCAGCCTGGGAAATAAGATCAAAACTCCATCCCAAAAAAAAAGAAAAAGAAAAAGAAAAAAGACCAACAACAACTAAAGCATTTTTTTCTTTTTCTTTGCCATTTATTTAAATGGCCCAAGTATATATTTGGGAACAAGCTGAAAAAAGATAAAGAAAAATGAAAGACTACATTTTAGAAAGTTAGAAATGCTTTGTTAGAAAGAATACATTCCAGTTAGCATTTCTGTTCCTGTTAAAAAGAAAGCATCAGGTTGGGCTCGGTGGCTCACACCTGTAGTCCCAGCACTTTGAGAGGCTGATGCGGGCAGATCACGGGGTCAGGAATTTGAGACCAGCCTGATCAACCTGGTAAAATCCAGTCTCTACCAAAAATACAAAAATTAGCTGGATATGGTGGCGCACACCTGTAATACCAGCTACTTGGGAGGCTGAGGCAGGAAAACTGCTTGAACCCAGGAGGGGAGGCAGAGGCTGCAGTGAGAGGTCGCACCACTGCACTCCAGCCTGGGCAACAGAGCAAGACTTCTTCTCAAAAAAAAAAAAAAAACACCAAAAGCATCTTTAATACCAATGGCAAAGAAAG